ACAGCCCAAGCCCCGGCCCGCAGCGTGCCCACCCGGGCTGGCAAGGCAGGGGGCCAGGGTGGATCAGGCGGGAATGGGTGGGCAGCAGGCAGGTGAGGAGGGGTGAGGCAGAACGAGCTGATGAGGAGGCAGCTCCCAGCAGCCAGTGAGGGCAGCGGCTCTGGCTCCAGTTACCTCGGGCCAGAGGGCCCTCCGACGAGCTGAATCCTGACTGGGCTGGGGTCCGGGACAGGGCGGGGAGTCTGGGCGGGGCCTGGGCGGGGTCAAGCCTGGGGACCTCCCACCTCCTCCCAGGTGGACCCATGGCCCCAAGGGCCCCCAGGAGCTACAGGGGGTGAAGGAAGAACGGCGTCCGGGCCAACAAGTGGGAATCCCGAGCGGAGGAGCTGAAATGAGAAGGAGGGGGCGCGGGGGAGGGATTGGCCGGGGCGGGGTCCTCAGGGAGCCTGGAGGGAGGTCCAGCTTCAGTGGGTAGGAACGGGGCTGGGAGCCCACCTGCCCTCCCACTGCAGCCCTGACGATGAGGGGGCAGTAGCCAGGACGTCAGGGGGTGGCAGGAGGGCACACCTGCAGGGTCCAGGCCAGCGGAAGCGAAGGTATCACTGAACAGGACGTCCACATGAGTGAGCAGAAATTCCACCACCACGGACTGCACCCGAACTTCCCGGAAGGCTGCCGCGCCACCCAGCCCCACTGACTCCAGCTCCATAGACCTGGACGGGAGGATGCGGGGGCGGCCAGAAGCCCTGAGCACCGGCGGGCAGGTTCTGGCTAGGCATGTTGGGAGCCGCCGGAAGCCATGACTGTCTATTCAGCACCTCCAAGCTTCTCAAATGGATCACATCTAGAACTGTGTTCTCAGCGCTTCCCTCCCCACCTTCCCCATCTCAGTCGAGGCAGTTCAAGGCCAAACGCCTTGGGGTTGTCTTTGAGCCCTCTCTTTCCTTCACCCCCACGTTCAATCTGTTAGCAAACTCCGTCAATGGCACCTGTAAAATCTGCCCAGAATCTAAACTCTTTTCCTTCTTCCACTGTCCCCACTCTGGTCCAGCCTCCATGCCCTGCTTCCAGGACATCGAAGCGGCCTCCTCCCTGGTCTCTTGCTCCTGTCTGTATGCCCACAGTCTGTTCCCTGGAGCAGTTTGGAGCCTAGGAACACCTAAGTGAAGTCAGAGCCCTCCTGGCTCAGAGCCCGCCCTGGCTGCAGCTCACCCCAGGAAAGCAAAGTCCTCGCCATGGCCCACGGCCTCGAAGTCACCCCTCTCCCTAGTCCCTGTCGCCTCTTTGACCTCATCATCTCTCTTTCAACCCCTCCCTCGCTCACTCAGCTCCGGCTCCAATGGCCTTCCGACTGTCCCTCCAGCACTGACCCAGCCCCAGGCTTGTTTCCTCTGCCTACTTGGTTCCTCCCCACATGTGCACATGGGTCCCTCCCTCACCCCTTGAGGGACTTGACTCAAAATGTGACCTTCTCAATGGAGTCATCCCCACCACCTTATCTAAAAATGTAACCCCCTCCTCCGTACCCTAGGCCTTTTTTCCTGTTTATTTTCCCCCACATTCCCTATGCCCACTTTCTGATGTACCACCCATTGTACTTATTGACATATCTGTACCCCCAGAAAAACGTGAACTGCTCCAGGACAGAGATCATGACTACCTTGGTCTTCAGCAAGTCCTCTAGGCTCATCCTGCTGCTGGCCACAGAAAGACATATTGAAGCCTTCCCTGCCACTCTAGCTAAACGCTTCAAACTGCCATAACCCTGCATGCCTCCCGTCTCTGCTTCCTGTCTCCTCCGTGGCGCTCATCGCCATCTGACATTATTCTGTATTTTCCTTGTTGATGGCTCATTGTCCATTTCCTCATTGGGCATATGAGTCTTAGGAGGACAGGGCTTTGCTCACTACCATGTCCCAAGTGCTGAAACAGGGCTTATACATGGGAGGTAGTTGACAGATATGTATTAAATGAATGAACGAGAAAACAAAAGTTGGGTGGGCTCCTGGGGTGGTTTTGGTGGGACAGTTGAGGCTGGCCCCATGGTAGGGAGCTGAGGGGGCAGGTTGGTGAGCTGCCAGCTTACCGTAGCAGGTTGGGTGCCCAGACAATGGCCAGGTTGCGGGCATGCATGCTGGTGTTGGCGCTGTGTCTGGCCATGCGGGCCAAATGCCTCAGCAGGTACTCCAGGGTCCTGAAGGTGGGAACAGAGGGGGACACCTAAACCTCAGCTCCCTTGGAACCCCACTATGGCCTTTGCTTGCCCCTCCTGGTTCACCTGTAATGTGGTGGGGGCAGCTGTTGGATGACATCGTGGACCCGCACCAGACGTTCCTCCTCCCCAGGCACTGACATGGCTTCCTGAGAGCGTGGATAGGCAAGATGAGGGCTGGGCTGAAGGCATTTCCGCGCCTTCCAACCCTGCCAGAACCCTTACTCACACTGAACTTCCCATAGAGTTGGTAGGTGAGCAAGGGGTTAGGCAGCTCTCGGAAGTAGAGCTTGCAGAGGGAGGAAACGCTGTGAATGTCCTGCAGGAAGGCGGGGCCAGACAGTTCAGGGATCCTCTCACTGTCAAACTCATGCCTGAGACCACCATGTCAAGGAGGAGGAAGATTCAGGTCAGAGCTGGTCCACCTGGCTGTGTTCCGCCTGCCCTCGTACCCAAGTGCCCACAGATGGACATAACCCTCTTCCCAGACCCTGTGCTAGGCTCTTCAGAGGCAGAACCTTACTGGACTCCTCAACAAACCTAGCAAAGGACACTGAGACTCAGGGGGGAGACACTTCTGCAGTAGCTACCCAAGGCTGTCTGACTCCAGAGTGTGGCCGCACTCCTGCCATGAAGCTGTGTCATTCTCTTAGCTTTAAGAGGCCACTGGACACTGTGGACAAAATCCAAGCAACCCCTTGCTCACAACTCTCTGGTGAGGCCCCACTGCTCGTGGTAAAGCTCCCACCCACTGCAACCTCATGCCTCTCTCACTACTCCTCCAGGCTTCATGCTGTCACCTCTTACCTCTCTGCCTCCTGTCAATGCCTTGCTCTTGCCTCATTCCCTCCCGCCTCTAGACTATCTCTCCCTGGCTCCGAACCCTACTGTGGCTCCCCTTTCTCTTGAGTAAAAGCCAAAATCCTTGCAAAAGACCCGCGTGCGCTATCCTGATGACTTCTGGGACATGGTCTCCTGCTGCTCTCCCCTTTGCAGTGGCTGCCCCCTCACCCCCTCCAGCACTCCCCGGAGTAGTCGTCTCTGCTCGTGCTATTGAAAACTGCAGTGCTCCTTCCTGGCTTACTAGTATGATGCTCCTTATCTCAATGTATTGTTCTCCATAGCACTTGCCATCTTCTAGCAAACTCTATCCTTGCCCCATTTGTCTTTTCCTCTAGCATGGGAGCCCCATAAGGGCAGGCACTTCTGGACATTTCATTCACTGCTGTGTCCCTGGTGCCTAGAATAGTGCTTGTCACATGGCAAGTGCTCAGTGAAGGTTGATGCCTCTGATGAGAATGCTAACTCTACTCTCACCTTTCAGGCCTTAGCTGGGGCATCAACTCCTCAAAGAAGCCATCCCTGACCTCAGCCTTGCTCTACCCCCATTCTATGCCCTCCTAACTCCTGATAACTGTGTCCCTGGCACATGGCGCAGGGCTGGAATAGTGACAACATAAATGCCTGTGGAATGACAGGGCTGGTGGAGGGCCCTCACCGCAATCTCTGGATATTGGAAGACACGCCTGAGAGCCTGTAGATTCCATCCACCACCCCATGGGCCTCAATAAACTCAGAGCAGCAGCGCAGCACCTGGGGCACTGGGAGAAAGCAGCAGGGTCAGGGCTGGGCAGGTTGAATCCTAGGTGGGGGGGGGTAGGGTAGGCAGGTGGGCCCAGGCCTCACCGTCCTGGCCCGAGTTGCTGAGATGCTCTCCAAGGTCACAACCAAACACCCTTTGCCGCAGGATTCCCCGCTGCCGCAGTCGCTGCCGAGAAGGACGGGAACGCATGAAGGTGCGGAGGAGGCCAGCCAGCTTCCCACGTGGCCGGGGCACAGCTGTGGGGCAGAGGCAGGCCACACAGGGTCAGCATGGCCATAGGCCGGTGAGGTGAGGGGAGAACCTGACCCATTGTTTCTATTACCTGACGTCAGAGATGAAATACCCTGAGCAGCTGGGATGCCGCACGGGGGACCATCAGCATCTGTGGGGCAAACAGTGGGCAGAAAGGATGGATGGTAGACCGAGGATGTGGGAGGACTTCCCTGCTCTGCCCCTGGCACTTACCCGCCTTTAGGCCTGGACCTGGCCGCTCACTGAAGAGTTCCACACACTCACTGGGGAAGAAACCGACCTGAGAAAGGGTCAGGGTCAGAGGCTGGGCCACCCTCGTTGGCACAGTGCCCTTGTCCTACCTGTCTACCCCCAACCAGGCTCACCTGGAAGCCTCGCTTGCCCCGCCACCAGCTCCGATCCTCTGTGGGTGGCATGTCGATCACTGAAACAATGTCTCCCACCTGGGAGGAAACAGATGGGAGCAGGGTCAGAAGGAGCAGGGAAAGTGGGAGCCCAGCTGGAGTCTGCTCCCCCACAGCCTCACCTCGAAGGACAGCTCATCCGGTGCCTGGGCTGTGTACCGTTTGATCACGTGGGCAGCAGCCACTGCAGGAATATTGAGTGAGGCCTCCTCACTGAGGAGTAGGCGCCGGCCATGATTGTCCAGCTGAAATGGAGGCAGGATGTGGCAAGGAGAGGCCAGAAGAAGGGGCTAATAATGGCAGACAAGGTTCCTCTATGCCTCATGAGGCCACCACCTGTCCCCTACCTCAGAGCCTCTGTCACTCAGAGCTGTTGACCAAACATCTAAATTCCTGCCCTCTGGAAAACAAGCCCCTTTCTTTCCCCTCACATGTCCCAGGACTCTACCACCCCTACCCCTGCATCCTCCCCAGCAGATGCTACACTTTTGCTATCTAAAAACACTCTGATTTAAGCCACTCACAGTCAGGTGTTCTGTGAGTTACAGCCAAATCCATTTCTAACTGTTATACCTTTAAGTCCTGACATCCCCCACAGCCCAACACCTGCTAAAACACACACACACACACACACACACACACTTTCTCTCACAGGAATGCGCCCACATAGACACTAAAATATCACTGCCTCCTCCACTCTGGCTCCTTTCTTTTCTATGCCTCCGCATACTCCCAGGCTGGTTCTCACTTCTTAGGCATCCTTTGCCCACCCTGAACTCCAAGACCCTTTGCCCAGGCCCACCTCCATCCAGGTGAGCACAGGCCCACAGTTGAGGTTACTGTCCACCAGTCCTGACAGGGTCTCCAGGTACTGCAGCAGCAGTGGCACCAGCATCTGAGGGTGGGTTGTCAAGGTGGGCTCCTATGAATGGACCCTGAGAGAGTCCACTCCCTCCCACACTGCCCTAGCTCATCTCTAGGCAGGGCTGAAATTCAACCCAAATGCATGAGTGCTGTTAAGCACTGAAATATTGGCATATCCATTGGTCAATAGGCCATGCTAAGCTCCTGAGTGCCCTAACTGGGATGGCCATGCTAACCCTTCCATGGAAGCCCCTGGACCTCCCCATGATCCTAAAATGAAATGGAGCTCACATAGCAGAACCCTGTTGTATGTCTAAGGCTTCTCCATTTGGATTGGTTGGGACTGGGGCCATATGGTGTTTAAATATTTATCTAAGTCCCCTGCCTTGATAGTCACACATCGCTAATGAGGACACATTGATGACTGAGGCAGGAGCTGAGACAACAAGTAGGTTACCTGGGCAGCCCTGGCCCCCTCTGGGGGTGGAGGAAGCTCTGGAAGGCAGGAAAACCTCCGGTCAAATATGCACCGGTGGAGGTGTGCATCCAGGGAACGGAAATCATCATAACTGCGGAGAACTGGCCAGGAACGGCCCTGTGGGAGCAGAGAGACAAAAGGAAGCAGTGGTCCCATTACACTGAGTTGAGGCCTATGGTGGCCAGTCATTCAGGCTAGATGAGAGGCTCGGGTGTCCTCACCTGACAGGTCACCTGTACCCCAAACACCAGTTCATTATCTCCAGAGAGACTGGGACCTTCCCGCTCTGGAGACAGCAGGAGCTGCAGAAGGACACAAAGGTACAGTGAGGGCCTCACTTTTGTCCCAGTCCTGATCTCTCTAGGCTGGCTCTACCTACGAATGGCTTTATGGCCCCTGCTGGACCTCCCCAAGGACAGGGCCTGGTGCTATGTGGGCCAGAGTACAGGACCCAGGTACGGAGCAGACACTTAACAAAAAGTTGTTGGATGAATAAAAGAACAAATGGGCTGGGCACGGTGGCTCAATCCTGTAATCCCAGCACTTTGGGAGGCCAAAGTGAGAGGATTGTCTGAGCCCACTGGTTCGAGACTAGCCTGGGCAACTTCGCAAGACCTCATCTCTACAATAAAAATCAAAAAATTAGCTGGGCGTTGTAGTTCCAGATACTTGGAAGGCTGAGACAGAAGGATCACCTGAGCTCAGCAAGCCAATGCTGGAGTGGCCGTGAGCGTGCCACTGCACACCAGGCTGGGCAACTGAGTGAGACTCCAACTCAAATAAAACAAAACAAAACAAAACAAACAACTGTTAAATGAATGAACAGCTATCCCCATCTGCTCTAGCCCCTGCAACTTTTGTTACTGACTGCTCAGATGGGTGGAACAGTCACAGGGATAGGTTCTTGGGGTAAAGCACTGCTATTGTTGCAAGGTTGAATAGGATCTCACCTTCACATCTGAGTGCAAAGCCCCCATACCTGAATGTGGCCAAAGTCAACATTCTCGTAGTGGAAATGGGCACAGTCTGCCAGCCGGGGGAAGGGACCTCGAGGAGCTGAGAGCCTGGGAGATGGGTGACATATCACCAACAGATCTTCAAGCCTCCTGAGTCCCTGAGCTGAGCCTCCCGAGTCCCTGAGTTCTCACCTCTTCCCTGGCTTCCCCTTCACACTGGCCCCCCCAGTGGGGGCTAGGGGCTGCACCGAGCCCTCCCCTGGGCCGTCCAGGCTGTCAGTGCTGCGAGCCTGTAGAGCAGAGAGAAGAATCAGAGGCCCCCGGAGATGGGAGCAAAGAGACAACAGGAGCATTGTTAGCTGCCAGCCTGAGTCTTAGAGGCCCTGGTTGCTTCACACACTGCCCTGAGCATGAAGTAGGAGGGTAGGTTGGGGGAGGTGAGGGTGGGGCTGAGGACAGGCCTGCTTCTTTGTGTGTGGTCTAGGATAGAGGACTGGAGGGGCAGGGACCATGGGTGAGGCAGGCAAAAGGGGAGAAAGCATGCTGGTCCCGTCTCTCCCTGTTTAAAACTCTTCTGGAGCCCCTAAGGAGTATAGTCACCTCCTACCACTGAACAATCACAACTCCCATCTCATTGGCCTTCCTGCTTCCAATCTCTCCCCTCCTGCCAACTTCTTCACAATAGCCAGGATCATTTTCACAAACACAAATCTGGTCCCGTTTCTCTGTAGATCCTAGTCCTTCGATAGCTCCCTGTTGTCTTAAAGACGAAATCAGATTCTCTGGTGTGATAGCCAAGGCTTCCTTGAGCTGGTTTCTGTTTACCTCTCCAGTCCCATCTCTCTCCATCGCTCCCATCCTTAGAGCTCTTGAACTTCAAAGTGTCCAAAAAAGCACCATCTTCTAATTTCCTTCTAGGTTTTTGCCAAGACTGTTCTGTCAGCCTGGAACACTCACCCCCACCCTTTCATTAGGTTAATTCATCCTCACCCTTCAGGTCTCAATTCACGTGCACCCTCCTCCAGGAAGTTCTCCCTGACCCTTCAGGTTGCGCCAGGTATTTCTTCTGAACTCTTTCCATCCCCCGAGGTTCCCTCATCCCAGACTCCACAATTCTGCCTGAGCTTTCCCCTTCACAGCTCTGAGCACACTGAGATGCCACTGTCTGGTGACAAGTCCATCTCTCCCATTGGAGTGTGACCTCCCCAGAAGCAGAGCCCCAGGTCGAGCCCCCCAGCATGCCAGAACAGAGTTGATGCTCCTCATAATAGGATTGTGCCTGACTTCTCCAGGTCTCCGATGCCCAGGGCCAGCCCAGTGGCACAGCAGGGGCTGGGTCAAATCGGATGAATAAATTAACCAGCTGCCTGACGGGGATTCACCAGACTAGGCTCTAGCTTCTCCCCTCCACGCCCTGCAACCCCAAGTTCACCCTTGGGCCTCACCCTCAGGGTCTGTCCCCCTCCAGCCCATGAAGCTCCCCAAGACAGGATGAGATCTGACTCTCTCTGTGTCTGGAGTGTGGGTCCTGCCCGGAGGAGGTCTCAGTGAATGTCTCTTAAACGAGGGAATGAGAGAATGAGTGGATGAATAAGCCGGAGCAGTATGGTGGGAAAGGGAGGTGGTGGGGGAGGGAGGGTGAGGACAAGAAGATGGAGAGGACCAAGGATCAAGCCGGGGACAGTGCTAGCTTGCAGGGTAGAACAA